GGGCAAAGCCAAGAGCAACATGTGCCCCCGGGGGCACACCGGCTCGCCCCTAGCTTAGAGGAGTTTCAGCAGTAAATAATGAAAAGGACAATTAACATAATTAAAAGGCCTAATAAAAGGCAATGGGTCTGCCCTAATAAATGGTAGGTTAGTTACTCGATAGTGTTGTTGATTATGGGCTTGATTGGGCTTTCACCTGGACTGGACTGAATTTTCGCTTGCTTTTGGGCTTGTGGCCACTCTTTTATACTGAATATTTATAACTGAATATTTATAGTTTAATTTGTTCATTGATGATCTGGTCAACTGGTCAAGTATACGTATTGGTTCATCCTGGTCCTAATTGATTGCATTGATAGGGTGGACTAAATGTGACTCCATGATTTGTAATAATGTAGCAAAATAATAATAATAATAATAAATAATGGAGTTAGTGCATAGTAATATTTTTAGAAAAATAATAATTAAATTGTTAAGAGTATTGCGGTAAGAACTATAAACATTTTTTGATTAATTAGTATTAACTAATACTATTTCAAAATGTCTCCAGAAATATTGAAACTAAATCTTTTCAATTTATTTCGTCATTAAATTGATAGATCAAACCAATCTGATTCATGCATTTGATATTATTAAATTTGTTGTTCAAATTCACAAATATATAAGAGGTTGGCTCTTGGATATTCTATCCTTGTGCAACTTAAAAGAAAATCCCTTCAAATTGTTATTTTAATTCAACCTATGCATATTAGGTTCTCAAATCTATCAACATTATTCATTATAGAATTATGTTTGAAGAATAATTAAATTCTAGGGAAAATTACATAAATCCTTCCTCCACTATTTTATTAATATAAATTTATAAATTTAATAAAATAGTGTTGCCCCTTAATATTAAATTAAAATTAATATAAATCACTCATTTAGCATAGTGGTATTAATTTTAATTTTAATTTTCTTTAGTGGTGCGTCTATAAAAAAAATGAAATTACCTTGAAACAACTTTCAAATTATTCTTAAATTTTTGTTTTTAAAAACTAAAATGGAAAAGAAAACCTTAAATGAAAATGATTTTAAAGTACACCTAAATTTTCTTAGATTTATATTAAGGAAAATTTTTATGGTAACAACATCACTTTAAAGGTGTATAATTTTCAAAATTTTCTTAAAGTTCAATTTTTTTATAATTAAAAAGGAATAAGAACCTAAAATGAAAAATCTTTCTTAAAATTATATTATGGGGGCATTTTCGTTATTATAAAACTTTGCAACAAATTTGATAGTTAGGGGGTTTTATATCAACTTTTTTCATAAGGATGTTTCATGCCAAAAATTGAAAGTAGAGGGAATTTTATGCAATTTGCTCTAAATCCTATTAGTTTAAAATCCATAAATTCAAAAATTACATAAAAATAAAAATAATGATTACATTAATTTTACACTTGCCTATGAGCAACCAAAGACCATAATTTCTCATTGTTATTTAAACCTAATTATATATATAAATAAAAGGAGATAAAACCTAATTAATAAACTAAGATAAATACCAAAAATCAGGTTGATTCGGGTTTGTTTAAACCTGCAACAAGAATTTCTAAATAATTCAACAGTCTTGGAATAAAAAAGTGGGATTCCAGGATCTTAAACGATGGAATTTGGCTAAAAAATGACATTGATCACTAACTAAAATTAATGGGTTTTGATTATTGGTTCGTTTTCTATAGAGAATGAATCTTTTCGAATCAAAAAGATATAAATAAACTGTACCGTACCTAAAAAGTCGATAAAACTATTTTACATCATAATTGATAGAAGTTACATAGCATGTGGGTCGTGAACAACTACGAGCGAGGCCATTGCAGGGTCTGCATTTATGTGTGTGCTTGTTTGAGTTTCTATCTGCTAGACCACAAACAGAATATATTAACTCCAATAATTTATTTAATATTTTGCTCCGTATGATCATATATGTGACAGAAAACTTATTTTCATAACACAAAACCTAATGATAGAGCTTGTGAATACAACAACAATCGTATTTCGCTTGTTTGTTTGAGATGGTACAAGGATTTCTTTAATCGGCAAACTAGGGACGGGAAAGACTTATAGGGATAGGAACTCTACACAGTAAGAGTCACTCAGTGACTCAGTGGGTCACTCACTTACCCACTGCGTCAACATTGCATGTGATGTGGGTTGTGAATACGTAACTGTCAGAGACACCATTGAAGGGTCTGCGCGCATGTATGTGTGCTTGTTTGAGATGATTTGTGTGATGGTGGGGCGGTGGGCTTTGATAAGATGTGCGATAGACATGGTTTTTAGTACTTAAGAGTTTGGGCTCACATGGGATTTTTTTGGTAGGAACTAAGACTGTTAACCACTTTTGTGCAAACAGACCACAGGGCCTCAATACAAAAGGTGAACAGGAGTGAGCAAAATGGGCATGAATTGAAGGGCATAGTGACATGTATCCACTTAATTTTAATGCACACCTCCACTTTTGTTTTAAAACCTTGCTAAAAATGTATGGTTAGGAAACTGTTAAATCTGGAAAATAAATGAAGGTTAGAGAGAGAAAATCTGACAGATTAATGCTGTTTTATTCAAAATTCTGAAACATAAAAGAAAAATTGGGTAGTGAGAAAAAAAAAAAAAGGGAAAGAAAAATTGGGTAGTGAGAAAAAAAAAAAAAAGGGAAAAAAAAATAGACTATATTTATTTTTTAATTGGTAGTCTCACACATACCTTTGAAAAGTAAGAACTTAATACCGCTAGGTCACTCGTCCGCGCTATATAAAAAATATGTAAAAAATGCACTTACTATTTAGTTTGTGCATATTCATATAATTTAAAATTTTATAACAAATTGTCCCTGGTCATCAATTTTGGCCTTTTTTTATTTTTTATTTTTTTTTAGAAATCCAAAATACGTACCCTTAAGGGCGTTCTAGGTATTTTAGTCTTCAATTTTTTTTATAAAAAAAGCTTCTTCCTTATTTTTTATTTATTTATTTTTTTTTCTGTAAGAGGCCAAAATACCCAATTTTTTTTATATGTACACCCAATTTGTTTTAATAAACAAATCATAAATTTTTGAAATCAATTCTTTTTATTTTTATTTAGCCTTGAGGGCATTTGATGTATTTTAGTGTTTAAATTGAAGAATTGTTCGCATTTACTCCATTTGAAAATTGTATGGGGTTTTTTTAACACAGTATCATTTGATATATGGTAGGAGTGTTTTTTTTTTGCACTTTACCCAAGAAAAATCAAGCTTAAAAATTTGTTTTACAAGTTAAAGAGAAAGTTTAAGCAATTGCTGGTGTTTTATTCGAATGAAAGTTGATGATACATCCCAATTTTATTTATTATTTTTTAAAATTTTTTTTGGCGCCATTTCAAATTATCACTACCAGTTTCAAGAGCCTTTTTACAAATTAAGTGAGCCAAACCATTACCTTCATGGGAAATTCACGCGCGCAGGGGAAGAGCCAACACAAACGTGAAGAAGAGAAAGAACATCCAATTGAATATGGCAAAGTCTAAACACCATTAATAAGTTATATCACCAATATTAGCTAAAAAGTAGTTTCACCGTTATGGATTTGTTTTATACTCATCCTTTGTTAATGAAATCACTAGTATTAATAAGTTATTTCACATTAATAATTATGTTATCTCAGCCATTAATTGCATATTACCGAGGTTACGAATATTAGTAAATTACTTCATAATGATAGGGGTCATTAGAATTTTGAAAACAACAAACTTATATGACGGTACAGAAAATGTTAAGATAAATGATAAAAATTGTTAAGAAAAAAGGGATACAAATCAAAATATGAGGGAGAAATTAGTTGTGGCATCTATTATTCTATTGTTATAGAATATCTAAATTCATATCATTTTGGAGTTTGGATAATTCTGAATATCATCAATATAACACATGTAGTGTTATAGAGTCGTCCTAACATTAATGTCTATAATTAGACCCACGTGAATTAAGGTGACCAAAGTGAGAGAAGAAAAGAAGATACTGTGAACTGTGTGATACATCCAATTGAATATGGCGAAGTCTAAACACCATTAATAAGTTATAATCACCAATATTAGCTAGGAAGTAGTTTCACTGTTATGGATATGTTTTATACACATCCTTTGTTAATGAGATCACTGCACTATTAATAAGTTATTTCACATTAATAATTACGTTATCTCACTCATTGTATGTTACGGAGGTTATCAATATTAGTAAATTAATTATTTCACAATGATAGGAGTCACTAGAACTGAGAACAACAAATTTATATAGCGGTAATGAAAATGTTAAGATCGATGATAGGAGTTACTGGAGAGGAATACAAATCAAAATGTGAGGGATAAATTAGTTGTAACACTAATAGTAATAGGGGAAAACTCACATAACACCTCTCTACTATTATTTTCGTTCAAAAAATGGTAAAATTAAAAACCTCCCTGAACTAAAGAAATGCTATCAATTTATCACATAACCGTATTAGGTTAAGAAATGACAAAATTAATCTTATGATTTAATATTAAAATAAAACTGATATTTATTATTATGAAATTATTATAGTAGAGGAGAGTTATGTGATTTTTTAGTGGTTTTTAATTTTAGTGGGTTTTTTTTTTGAGCAAAAATGATAATAAAAAGGGGTTATGTGATTTTTCCCCTTAATAATAATACGAGAAATAGTAGACTTAGGAGTTAACCTTTTCTCGGATACAAGGACCTGTGAATGTGAAGAAATTAATACTGTTGTGAAATAAACATGATTTCAGAGAATTATTCAGTTGTTATAGAATATCTAAATTCGTATCATTTTGGAGTTTGGATAATTCTGAATATCATCAATAACACATGTAATGTTATAGAGTCATCCTAACATTTATGTCTATAAATTAGACCTATCACCCATGTGAATTAAGGTGAGCAAAGTGAGAGAAGAAAAGAAGATACTGTGAACAGAGAGAGAATGCCTTTGATTTTCCATTCCAGCAACTTTCAATTTCTAAAATACCCTTCCTTTGCACCCATGCCAATGGCCCACCTCACATATTCCAAGATTTCCATGGCTTCCATCCTCCCCCACAGCTCCAGGTGAGTTTTCTTTTCCCCCTTGTTTGATTCATTTATTTTCCTAGTAGTAAGAAAAATAATGGCTGGAACTTGTCTTTTACATTTTTTCCCCCCTTGTTCGTTCTTTTAACCTGTCAAGTTTTCTAGAATATTTTTGTATTTTGTGTTTTTTCAGTCTATTTAGTAGCGATTTGAATGAAATTTTATCCTCCTCAAATTTCATAATATTTTTATATTCAATCGGTTTTTCAGATGGCACATAGGATGTTAAGGTACGTAATGCTTTAATATATCTTTGATTCAAAAATATTTATAAAACAAAAAAAAACATACACCAATGTGAAAATGATATGACCTACCATTTGGAAACAAATTCCTTTTATTATTATTATTATTATTATTATTATTATTATTCACAATTATAGCTCCCATGGCTTAAGGCTTAAATCCTATGTATTTTTGCCTTGGACCCTGTTTTGCCTCAAATCTAGTTATTAAAAAATATGTTTCTTCATATAATTGTTCTTTTATAGTTTTCCATAAATATATATATTTTTTTCCTGAATTTTTGATAAGTATTTTCAGAGTTTCAAATCAAGCGGGACACTTAAATACCCTAATAAAAGAAGGGGATACGAGAGGGAATAGATATTGGGTGCTCCAGACATGCCGCGTCATTGATATGCTCAATTAATCAAATATAATATATTATCTCGTTATCATAATTTTATAGATGAGTGAACTAACTTTTTTTTAAAATGATACATTACCATTAGTTGGGTATATTAATGATCTGGTATGTCTACTTGATATTAGAGTCCCAAAATAGATGTCGACTTTGGGACGGAGGGAGTGCATGAAGCTTAGTTAGAAAAAGGGCAGCAAATGGAGCTAAAGAGTTCGTGAATAGCGCTCATGCTCACCTCTTTTAAAACTTAACTGGTTCAAACTTTTTCATTGAGCAAACAAGTTGTACTTGAGCCCATTTTTTGAACTTCTTTAATAAACGAGTCTGAGATTAAGTTAATTGATTATGTTTTTATTAAACCAACCGAGCTAAGTATGAGATTATCAAAATAGTGATCGATGAACTGAGCTCACAAACAAACAAGCCTGAGTTTGAATAGTCTAAAACTCGGCTTGACTGGTTCATCTGCATATATATTAGAAATTTTTGCATTACATTTTAAATTGAGGATTGAAGTGTATATATATGTTCATCAAAGTCACTCTTTGATCACCTTAAACCCATCAATTTCTTAACTTTATCACAACCTACTTAAATATCTAGGGAGCTTGGTTTGCAGATCGAAGAAGCAATTCACCCTTGCTCAAGAGCCACGTTTTCAAGTGACACACTCTATGCCACCCGCAAAGCTGGAGATATTCAAATCCCTGGATGATTGGGCTAAGAACAATGTGTTAATCCACCTAAAACAAGTTGAGAAATCTTGGCAACCACAGGATTTTTTGCCAGACCCTACGTCGGCGGACGAATTTGCGGAGCAAGTGAAGGAACTAAGAGAGAGGACCATAGAGATCCCAGATGACTACTTTGTTGTGTTGGTTGGAGATATGATCACAGAAGAAGCCCTTCCAACTTACCAAACAGTGTTTAACACTATTGACGGAATTCGGGACGAGACTGGTTCAAGCCTCACTTCGTGGGCAACTTGGGTTAGGGGATGGACTGCTGAAGAGAACAGGCATGGTGACCTCCTCAGCAAGTATCTCTATCTCTCTGGAAGAGTTGACATGAAGCAAATTGAGAAAACAATTCAGTATCTCATTGGGTCTGGAACGGTAAGATATATATATATACTTACCCTTAACTAGCATTAGTACCTTTGCATGAATCACATGATCTTATGTTAGCAGGTCAAAATTGAACTAAAAGAAAACACAATTATTTAAAGTATAATGATACACAACACGGAAGAAAAAATGTCAAAATTTCCCTAATCTGATTTGGTTAAGCCAAGTCAAAATTAAATCTATAATTTATTCATCTTATTAAAGGCCTAAAAAATATATTTGTCTTTAAGAGAAAAAGTAGGGGTTGATAGTAATTTTACAAATGGTGACGAGTGAGGAGAAGTGTTGTATATATCCAATTTTGGAGAATTTTTAATTTCTTGTTTTTGAGGGGAAAGACAAATACATTTTTTAGGACTTTAATAGGATGAATAAATTATAGATTTAATTTTGTTGTGGCTTAACCAAATCAGATTCGGGGAGTTCTTGGTTGCCTATCATTACTCTTATTTAAATATATGTAAGCAAATCACAATTATATACTGAAATCACATTCTTTACATTGATTTTACCACTCCAACTAATTAATGCATGTGAATTATATGAATTGTAGTATTTTTCTTGACCAAATTAATTCTAAATCAGTTAACTAATTTAATACATTTATATTAAGATATGTTAGATGTAAAAGGAATCAATCTCATTGCATGGCATAGAGTTTAACAGGCAGTTTTGTTAGATTAATTTGATGTATAAACTAATTAATTAATCACATTAATTTCCAATGCTTATGCTTGTGGATTTTATGAAAATATAGGATATACAGACAGAAAATAATCCCTACTTATGGTTCATTTACACTTCATTCCAAGAGAGGGCAACCTTTATATCTCATGGTAACACAGCTAGGCTTGCCAAAAAATATGGGGACACAAGCCTGGCTCAGATATGTGGTACCATAGCCTCCGATGAAAAGCGCCACGAAACTGCTTACACCAAGATAATGGAGAAGCTCTTTGAGATTGATCCTGATGCAAGTCTCGTGGCATTTGCCGACATGATGAAGAGGAGGATAACAATGCCAGCCCACTGGATGTATGATGGACGTGACGATAATCTTTTCACACACTTCTCGGCTGTTGCACAGCGACTCGGTGTCTACACTGCCAAGGACTATGCTAATATATTGGAGTGTTTGGTTGATAGATGGAATGTAGACAAGATCAGTACTGGACTTTCGGGAGAGGGTCGAAAGGCTCAGGATTATGTCTGTGGTTTAGCTCCAAAAATTAGAAGGCTGGAGGAAAGAGCTCAGGGAAGGGCCAACCAAGTAGTTTCCATTCCTTTCAGTTGGATTTTTGATAGAAAAGTGAAGCTCTGAAGGAAGAAAAAGAGAGAATTGAGGTACTCTACTCCAGTGTATCCTTTTCTTGAATAAAGAAACTACTCTATATGTAATAAATTAGAGGTGCAGTTCTCTACATATATGGTCTCTTTTACCAGTTACTTTGTTTTACTTTTAGGGATTATTACACATAAATGGACTTAGTGACCCATATTTACCCATACATTGAGTCAAAGTCAATAATTTCTCTAAAATGCGTTTGACCCAAAAGCTGAGGTGGCACATGAAAAAATACTGTTTCATATTTCTGTTGCCTAAAATACCCTTCTTCCTATTTTATGTGTTGCCTAAAATGCCCTTTTGCGAAGGTACCACTTTTTTCCCAAAGGTACCACATTTTTGGACTGAAGGTACGACTTTTTGGCGTCTAGGTACCATGTTTTCTAAACACTCGTTTAGCTAGATTGGAGAATATTTTGTGTTATTCATGGCGTTAATGGAGCTGTTTATGGATGTAATGTGTAACCTAATTAGCGGTGTGGGGTTTAATACCATTTTCAATTGTAAAAATAAGTCCATTTTTTTGGCGTCGAGGTACCATGTTTTCTAAACACTCTAGCTAGCTTGGAGAATATTTTGTGTTATTCATGGCCCTAATGGAGCTATTTATTGATCCACTGTACAACCTAATTAGCGGTGTAGGGTGTAATACCATTTTCAATTGCAAAAATAAGCCCATTTTGCGAAGGTACCACTTTTTTTCCAAAGGTACCACATTTTTGGACTGAAGGTACCACTTTTTGGCGTCCAGGTATCATATTTTCTAAACACTCGTTTAGCTAGATTGGAGAATATTTTGTGTTATTCATGGCATTAATAGAGCTGTTTATAGATGTAATGTGCAACCTCATTAGCGGTGTGGGGTTTAATACCATTTTCAATTGTAAAAATAAGTCCTTTTTTTTGGCGTCAAGGTACCATATTTTCTAAACACTCTAGCTAGCTTGGAGAATATTTTGTATTATTCATGGCCCTAATGGAGCTATTTATTAATCCACTGTGCAACCTAATTAGCGGTGTAGGGTGTAATACCATACGTATCAACTTACCCCCTGCCTTTAAGTAATAGACGTTTAGTGCTGATGTCAGGATGGATAAATGGGTAGAAGGTCAATTTTACCCTTTACAATGGCTGAAATGACATTTTTAACTTTATTGACCATTGCGGAGTTACAAAACTACCCTTATTCATTCAACTGCTTCAATTGTGGAATGAAATATTTTTGATCCTACATTCATGTAATAGTCAAAGAAAATTAAGTGAGGCTCTAATATAATAAGCCATACAATACTAATTCATAAAAACCCAATGCAAAAGAGAATTTCATTTCATTTCATTTAAGGTAGATGCCAATATAATATGCTATACAATGGTTGCAAAAACATACCAACCTAATCACAATAAAAAGTTGCACAGCTATTCTTCTTTAAAAGTAGAAAAATAGCTCACACCAACAGATTACAAAATAGAGCAAAAAAAATGACACTGTTCAACATTACATATGTCCCATATCCCACATCATTTCAAGTACTTTTTTGATTTTGAGATCCTCCTATCCCATTTCCTCTAGCTCCCCAATTGGGTAAATATAGGTATGTATTTCCTTGTTATGTGGTAAACCATTTTGTGGCCCTTTTTCCTTTCTGTGGTCCTAGTGAGAGTCCTCTTGTTTCTGTATTTGATGGACATGCATTCTCTGTGTCTCTGTGTGTAGTTGGAACAAAAGAATCACTTTGTCTCTGTGACTGTCACATGCAATAAAAATTAAGGTATTAAGGCATTGTATAATAATAATAAGGAACAAAAGCAATATAAAAACAGACAATTCGAAACTTTGAATAATAATAATTTTAAAAAGAATCATCAAAATTAAAAAAGAATTTATAATTCACTCAAAAAGACAGCACTATTATGGGTAACACGAAAAAAAAAAAATTTGCCCAATTAATACAACTATGAAAGAATTCATAGATTTGTACCATATATATATATATATATATACATATATATTTGATATTAAGAGACAAAAGACAATTTCAAAAAATAATAATAATAAAAATCACTGATTCCTACCAACGAATGGCCTTTGGAAAATTTTCACTAACCGTGCAGAATATATAACATGGAAAAGTGCAATTGAACATTGAGTTATAGTACTAACAACTAAGTTATACTAAGAAATTACTCTACAGAAAAAATTATATCAAAAGTCGAGAAAATTACATCTTATAAGCCTTGATGGATTAAGATAGAAATAGTGAGGTTCCTTGAGGTGAATGGTAGCTTGTTGGCTAATTAAGTTGCACATTGGATCAATAAATAGCTCCATTAGGGCCATGAATAACACAAAATATTCTCAAAGCTGGCTAGAGTGTTTTGAAAACATGGTACCTCGACGCCAAAAAAAGAGACTTATATTTGCAATTGAAAATGGTATTAAACCCCACACCGCTAATTAGGTTGCACATTACATCCAGAAACAGCTCTATTAACGCAATGAATAACACAAAATATTCTCCAATCTAGCTAAGCGAGTGTGTAGAAAACATGGTACCTGGTAGCTTATTGGCTAATTAAGTTGCACATTGGATTAATAAATAGCTCCATTAGGGCCATGAATAACATAAAATATTCTCAAAACTAGCTAGAGTGTTTAGAAAATATGGTACCTCGACGCCAAAAAAAAGAGACTTATTTTTGTAATTGAAAATAGTATTAAACCCCACACCGCTAATTAGGTTGCACATTACATCCATAAATAACTCCATTAACACAATGAATAACACAAAATATTCTCCAATCTAGCTAAGTGAGTGTTTAGAAGACATGGTACCTGGACGCCAAAAAGTGGTACCTTTAGTTCAAAAACGTGGTACCTTTGGAAAAAAAGTAGTACCTTCTCAAAAGGGACTTATTTTTGCAATTAAAAATGGTATTTCACCACACATTGCTAATTAGGTTGCACATTGGATCAATAAATAGCTCCATTAGGGTCATGAATAACACAAAATATTCTCCAAGCTAATTAAAGTGTTTAGAAAACATGGTACCTCGAAGCCAAAAAAATGGACTTTTTTTTTGCAATTGAAAATGGTATTAAACCCCACACTGCTATTGAGGTTGCACATTACATCCATAAACAGTTCCATTAATGCCATGAATAACACAAAATATTCTCCAATCTAACTAAACGAGTGTTTAGAAAACATGGTACCTGGACGCCAAAAAGTGGTACCTTCAGTCTAAAAACGTGGTACCTTTGGAAAAAAAGTGGTACTTTAGCAAAAAAGACTTATTTTTGCAATTGAAAATGGTATTACACTTTACACCGCTAATTAGGTTGCACAGTGGATCAATAAATAGCTCCATTAGGGCCATGAATAACACAAAATATTCTCCAAATTAGATAGAGTGTTTAGAAAACATGGTACCTCGACGCCAAAAAAAAGTATTTTTGCAATTGAAAATGGTATTAAACCCCACACTGCTTATTAGGTTACACATTACATCCATAACAGCTCCGTTAACGCCATGAATAACACAAAATATTCTTCAATCTAGCTAAACGAGTGTTTAGAAAACAGGGTACCTGGACACTAAAAAGTGGTACCTTCAGTCCAAAAATGTGGTACCTTTGGAAAAAATGTGGTACCTTCGCAAAAGGGCATTTTAGGCAACACATAAAATAGGAAGAAGGGTATTTTAGACAACATGAATATGAAATAGTATTTTTTCATGTGCCACCTCAGCTTTTGAGTCAAACACATTTTAGAGAAATTATTGACTTTGACTCAATGTATGGGTAAATATGGGCCACTAAGTTCATTTATATGTAATAATCCCTTACTTTTAAGTGAAATAGGTACTAAAAAACCAATAGATTGGAAGTTTCATTACAAGGGATACTGTCTTATATATATTCATTAATTTATGGCAAAAAAACATTAAAAACTCCCCCCTCAACTATCAAAATTGACATTTTACCCCTTTAAACTACAAAATGACAAAATCGAGCAAGTTAGTACCACAAGTAAGCCCTCCTACCAGTCACTTCTGGCACCTTTCCGACCAACAGTTGCAGCACCTAACTTATCCTTTTTTTTATAATACCAAGATTTCCCGCCCTCTGCCTGTAAGAAGCCTTTTCCATTCATTTTAATAAACCCATTTTCTTCTTCCACGTGTATTGTGCAACATGATCTCTCTCTCTCTCCAATAGTACCAAGTCTCCAACAAAATTTCACAACAAAAATTTAAGGTTGATACATTAAATAAATTGTTTGTAGGCGTATGGAGTCATCTGAAGTAAAATTTTGAGGTGCAATTAGGTGTTTAATAGTTACATGTGTTAATTAATTTAACTTCTATAATAAGGAATTTAAAAATAAATATAAAAAAAAAGTGAAAAGAAAAACTTTTATGATAAATAATTACAAGTATTTTCTTATAACTAAATTAAAATTTATAACTCTTTATTTATTTTCAATAAAATTTTTAGGAAAAAAATTTACTTTAAATATATATATATATATACACACATATATATATTTATGATGAATTCCTTATTTGTCAAAGTAAAAATGGCTGCTCTGAGCATGACACAAAAAATGCTCTTCCAAATGCTGATTGATTATACCTTTAATTAAGTAAAAAAATAAAAAAAATTTAGCGTTTCATTTCAATCTCCTTAAAGGTAGTTTTGTAACAGTATTTCCCAACTTAAGACACCAAATATACATAGGCGCATATACATACATACATACATACATATATATATACATAGAGAAAACAGAGATGTACCAATAGGCCGGCCAGTGGCCTAGCGGTACCGGACCCCCACTTCCCATAGGGAGGTTAGGGGTTTGAGCTACAATGCAGGAATGTATGTGTGAGTACTAACTTAAAAAAAAAAAAAAAAAAAACAGAGATGTGAAATTAATGAAGAAATCATCCAATCCAACTCAACGTCCCTTTGATAATCTGAAAGAAAGAAGGAACAAGATCATATAAGTGAGGGATGCTTAGAACTGTT